ATATACTGTATATATGAGACGAGATTGTGGCCAAATTCGTCCTGGTCGATGGGCTTACATCTGCCGTACATAGATAGTTCACTTCTCTTAGATTGTTATTAAAAATGTTTTAGCAGTTTGCATTCTTCCATACTGTCGCCAACTATATCAAATGCTCTTGGGGGCCTTTCTAAGGGAAACGCCATTTGCTGATTTGGACTACTATCACTCCTAACCCTTCTCTTTTCACGTCTAGAAATAACACGTTTCTTTCGACCTTTTCGGATGCTTCATTTTCGGTTGTTTCAAGATTATATTCCTCAAAATTTTCTTTTAGAAATGTGCGATCTGTTAGAGCAATACTGATTCTGGCAACGATAATGCTTGCACTCCAAAGCACATTTTGGGAAAAACTAAAGTTTTGGCCACAATAATTTCTACATGGAAAAAATCTCTTTAAGGTCACCTGATAATCGTGTCTTTTATATCATTAATAATAGCTTCCCAATCGTCATAGATTAGAGATGTTTCTTAGTCTATGCTGAATTAAATTCCCGAATCTTTATGTTTCCCCAGGTCCTCCAATTTGAAGCCTTTTCCTGGATTACGTTTTTTACTTCCATCCGACGTCTCAGTGACAGCCATCACCTAGTGAATACACTAATTGTGATTATGGCCAGTGGTTTACGACATATTTTTTTTTCTGCACTTGTCAACGTTTCGGGTGGGGTTTTTTTCGTTGTTGAAATAGCAAGAGTTTGAACCAACATGAGAACAACGGTGTTTAGACAGGTCAAGAGAAAGAGGGGACGAATCCAGGACGCAGAGCCATACTGTGACGATAAAAGCAGTATCCTGAAAACGAATGAAGTTTGTAACGACGGTGTTTTGAGAACTCCCTACACAAGCACAACAAGCAATGACGGTGTGTTCCGTACATCGATCTCGCGTAGAGAGTGTGATAACAATAACGGTGGAACATTCGATTCCAGTTCAAGCAAACTAAAGAGAAATCACAGACAAGTAAAACAAACCACGTTCGCCAGTTTCTGTGAGAGGTACGAGCTTACGGGTGAGAAACTGGGCAGTGGTTCTTTTGGTTCTGTCTACACCTCTCGGGACCGAGAATCAGGGACAGAATACGCGGTAAAAATAATTAGGAAATGCCATGATAACACCCGCAAGAAAGTTTTGAAAGAGATAGACATTTGTCAACGGTACAATAATTGTGAAAGTATCATCAATCTTGTGGAATTCGGCGAGATTGGAGATGCGTTTTTCCTTGTGTTCGACAAGATTGAGGGAGGGGATCTTAGTCAGATGCTTGAATCACGTAAACGTCTTAGTGAGACAGAGGCTGCTCGAGTAATTAGCACCATTGCTCACGTCCTCCTCACTCTCCACAACGATGGGGTAGCTCACAGGGACATAAAACCCGACAATATTTTATGCCAAAAGAAAGGGGAGGTCACATCCCTCGTTCTCTGTGACTTTGGACTTGCCAGTGACCCGTCTTTTCGACGAGACTCAAAAGGGGACATAATGAAGACCACTTTGACTTCGCCTGTCGGCACACCTGACTACATAGCGCCAGAGATTGTCGCTTTGATGTGCAATGAGTCTAAGGCGCCTTATGACACCAGCTGTGACATGTGGAGTCTCGGCGTAATGCTCTATAAAATGCTATTCGGCGTGATGCCCTTTCATCGTGGATGTGAAGAGCACCGTTGCTTCACGGATCTTTCGTGTGAAGACTGCGAGATCATCTCGTACCAGGACATCCTTCGCGGGGACTACCGTTTTCCCGAGAAGGCTGGAGAGTTGTGTTCAGACAGCGCCCTGGATTTGATCCAACACCTTCTGGTTGTTGACCCCCAAGCCCGCTACTCGGCCGCCGAAGTCCTGCAACATTCCTTTCTGACCACTAGCGTAAGTAGTGACCTCGCCATGTCAGCATCAGTGTGTGGACAGGTCGAGAAGATAGTTGGTCAATTCCAGGACTCAGGGCCAAACTTTAAAAGTTCTATTGACAATGCGTTCAGTACCCTTAAAACAGTCAGCGCCTTTAATGACGCTGTGCTGCTTTCTTCTGACACATATGTAACCAGTAATGATGGTGTGTTCTGTACATCGATATCACCTCGGACCTGTGATAGCAATGGAACATTCGATTCCCGTTCAAGCAAACTGAAGGGGATGGACAGACTAGGGAAACAAAAAACATTTACTAATATATGTGAGAGTTACGAATCTTTGGGACAAAAACTGGGCAGTAAGTCTCATGAGCCCGTCTACGCCAACCAGGATAGGGATTCAGAGACGGAATTTGCCGTAAAAATAAAGAACTGTGATGAACGCAATGTTTCTAAAAAGATTAACTTATGCCAACGCTACATCTGTGAGAATATCTTCAGCCTTGTGGAATTTCACGAGATTTTTTAGACACGTTTTTCTTAGTGTTTGACAAGGTAGCAAGAAGAAATCATAGCTGAGTGTTTGATTTACATGTGGACTAAGCAGCTCGAGTAATCAGCGCAATTGCCCAGGTCTTCTTGACTTAGCACAACGACGGGGTGGCTCACTGGAACATCAAACCCGACAATAATAACATCATAACACTCGTCGCTCTCAGTGACTTTGGGATTGCCAGTGATGTACTTCTCGACGTGACCGCTGAAAATGAGCCCTAACAAAGATCATTCTGCTGACGTCTCCTGTCGGCACTCGTCATTACATAGCGCCAGATATTGTTTCGGTGATTTTAAGGCTACCTTCGACACCCGCTGTGACACATGGTGTCTCGGCGTACTGTTCCACAAAATGCTCCTTGTTGTGATGCCCTTTCACTGTGCTGTGGTGAGCACCATGGCCCCCATCTATCGCTCGTGTGAGGACTGCGAGATCAACTTATACCTGGACATCCTTCGTGAGGACTACCGCTGTCCTTTTGGGGCTGTTGAGATGTGTTCAGATTTGAGATTCAATCCAACTGCGCCTGGTGGTTGACCATCAAGCCCGCTTCTCGACCACTGAATTCCTGCAGCAGCCCTTTCTGACCGCCAACATGAGTGGTAAAGGCTGTGTGACGCTATCTTTCTTCGTCACTGATCGGTATATGCAATTGAAACTGACCATTATCATCAGGGGCGGCTCGTGAGGCTAAAAAGTGGACGTGCACAATTAAGCTATCGCATGCAGAAGATAGTCAAGGGTATAGTAAATGAGACGGTGTATAATTTTAGGATCTTTGGGTTGGAGAGAGAGGACCTCGTGCTTTTATTTTCATTCTTTTTACTTGCCGCTTTGATTTCTAGTACTAATTTTTTTTGGTTAGCTAAACATCAATTTCGTTCATCCTGTATTGGAACTAAACATTGAAGTAATAACTTTCACTACTCCACTACAAAACCATTCAAAGGCACAACTCATAGGACGGTCACGTTCACCACCCTTAGGTTCACGGTCACAGAGTCACTTAAAATAGTGGCAAGACAGACAATGAACCAATCACGGTTCACTAGAGCACTCCACTGGATTGCTCTGGGGCTCACAATTATTGGCAAAGAATAGCGTACGGTCTATTGCGTTTATTTTTAGACTGCCTACTGAGGGCTATGTTTCGGCACTATTCGGCAGGAGCACATATGAGACGTGCCGTCTTATTAATATTAATGTACAGCCAAACTCGCTACGAGTGTCGTCATCGCTTGGGTTATCCCCAAGAGCGATTTATAGGTCAGGTTACACTGTTCAATATCCTATTAAGTTTAGCTAAAGCGCGTGGACTTTGGCATGGCATAGTAGATGTTTTACGGCGTTATAGACACAGAAATGACAGTTATATGCCAGTGAGGACCTTGTTTTGATATAATACTTGGCTAGTGTTTGCCTCTGGCTTCTTTTATTTTATTATTGTGTGTGTTTTACGTCATAGAACATTAAAAAAAAAATTGGGGCGGCACAGCACGACCGTGCTTTATGGACAAACCGCGCCTGGCCTGATTATCAGTGGCGGTTCGTGGTTTATAGAACTGACCGGCCGTCATTCACATCGACTCTTTCTCACTCCCCCCCACCCCCTTCCTTCACAACACACACACACACACACACACACACACACACACACACACACACACACACACTCACACACACACACACATACTCACACACACGCACGCGCGCGCACGCACACACACATACTCACACATTCTCTCTCTCTCTCCCTCCCTCTCTCTCTCTCTCTCTCTCTCTCTCTCTCTCTCTCCTCTCTCCTCATTTCCCCCCTACTTTCGCCATCCCCACCCCCTCCCCAACTCACACACACCATTGTAAACATTAAAATATAATGTTAAAGAGCTAAAATATGGTAGTGTCAAGAAACAAAGCTACGAATAACGTATGATGGAAGTTACTGAGACTAATAGAAACTGACTTGAAGGACACAGAAAAAGAAACACAACTATCCTAGAAAACAAACTGAAAGTGTATGATGACAAAAAGTCAATTGATACTGTACCAGTGACGCTGCCCCATGCAGATCAAGTCTACTATCAGATACTATACACAGCTGGACAAAGTTAGCACACAACAGTTTCCAATCATTATACCATCAAACATTCTTCATTGCACTTCTCAGTTCTCAGAACAGAACACTGTTGTAACAAAGTGGGGAAGTGTGTCATACGCTAATTATAAAACTTGGTGTTTTGCTAGGGTGACGGTGGAAAGGGGGAGGGAAGGGAGGGGTAGGCCTAACTGTTCTCGGCCCAGACTGTGACAGCCGAGTGCCTATCGCTCCTCTTTATAATTTTCCTTATATATCTTAACTAGACGATTCCTCCTTTCGCCGGCCAGACTCCTATGGGCCAGGTAAGTTTTTAGTGGGGAAAAAGCGATGAATTTATACCAAACAGGAACTATAGGTGGCTAAAAATTCAATAAACGAAAAAAGATTAGTGCCATGTTGACAATAAATGTTCTTATAATAGATAGAGAAAGGCTGAATGATAAATACATGTATTGCTTATAAAATAATACATGTGTCCGTGCTGCTCAAGACAGTCTCATTCTTAATTTTGTAAGCAACACAGAGGCCAATTTGGCAATTAAGGGATGTTCTATTCCCTCTGTAGACTACTGTCGATGGATTTGCCCAGCGGACTGAGGTCATCGCTGAGCGAGCCGTGTTCGGTTTGTCCTCGTACGAAGTTCCGCGACGTGACAGGAGACGATTTAACTGTAACAGTTGTGAGCCGG